AAATTTGCACAGCTCTATAGTAATGCAATACATTATCTGTAGTGCACGACCAAAGATAGAACTTGATTGTTTCTCGATAGACCCTTTTAATTTCAGATTTTAAGATATAGTTGATGCAATCAATTGGCTGTGAAATTTTCGATCTTTGGGATTTGTAAATGCAATCAATTGTTTCTTGTGTGATATGCTCCTGTCATATGAGTTCTTAACCTTTTACTAGTTTATGCAGTTATGGTTTCCATTGTATTCTGTTCTTCAACATAGACGTGCTGCTGATATTGATGAATACAACCAATCTACAATTCAAAGGCATGTATTAAATTTTCTCTTGTGAAATTCAGCGTGGTCAGTAAAGATTTCTAATCAACTTACTGTCACGAATATCTAATAAAAAATGAACATGCAGCTTGGAAGAGTTTGTTCAGATGTCCAGCATTGGTGAATTTAAAAAGCGTCTTCAACTGCTCCATGCTTTCCATGGACAAATTAGTAATGGTTTGAAGCGGGGGTCTTATTCTAGGTAAAGCAGTATTTTTTATGCGTTGGCTAAATGTTAAATTAGATACTGGAAAAGCAGTTAATTCTTCTTAGGATAAAACTGAAAGCATGCCTTTAGTCATTTTGTATTGTATTAAACTGTTCCACCACCAATAATTTTTGTAAAGTTGAGATGCTAATTTGCATTAAATTATGCAGCCCTCACCATGCAGAGAATGTGAAAGTTCTCTACAACACATTTGGCTTCTATGCGCAATTCTTGCCACTGTAAGTTCTCTGTTGCCAACTATTTTGAAATTTATATACATCTTATTACTTCACTTAACTTCTTTTCGGGTTATATTGAAAGTTAATGTTTTTGATGTTTTCAGAATTCTGGAACGCATCGAAGCTAGTAGAAGAAATATTGAGACCGAGTTGAAAGATGTCCTTAAATTGTGTCGCTGGGATCGTGTTGAGATCCACTGGACTGCAGAAACCTCTAAAAGAACCAGGCAGAAGCTGAAAAAGATCATACAAAAGTATACTGTAAGTCAATAACTTCTTCCTAATCAAATTGGACATGGCCTGCTGCAGTTTACAGGATAGGTTCATATTTCCTTAAAGAAATATAATTAGATCTTGAAATACACTTTTGAGTACTGTCAAAAGTGTGACATTAATTCTTCTTATGACTTGAAAGCATTCAAGAAGTTGTACTTTGCCCCAAGAAGCTGATTCCTCGTGTCTATCTTCAGCATAACAGTCTGTAAATCATGTATAAAGTTTGTTTGATATGTATCTCAATCTATGACCTATGCATTCATCAGTTGACATATGAATCATATAACCGAGTGTCCATTATATTGAATACTATAATGGAGGGTCCATTATATGTAAGGCTTTTGAAAACGCCCCGACAATAATTACTGTGGCCAAGTTTACTGCCCTCTGTAAAACAGCTTTTGCGTCTGCTATTGTTAGTTGGCCTGCTGATGATTTCTTGCGATTGAACGTTCATTTATACAGATTGCATAATAATATCATCTTTCTATTTTTGGCACAGGAAATATTGCAACAACCTTTAATGCATTTCCTTGTTCAAGAGGCCTCACGAAGAGGCATTACTACCCAATCTATTCAAGGCATAAACCTCCTAATTGATCCCTATGAGAAGAGCAGGAATCTCCTTAGTACTGTCTGTTATCAGGTTCAATCCACTGATAAGGACAGGTTGCTTTCTTTTCTCATATTTTTGCCCATGCTAGTGTTGTGTATGCCACAAAACTGTTCTCAACTTTTGCTCTTTGTTGCAGCTCTTTATGGGTTACGGAATGGTGCAAGAATGTAGTAGTTGTTTTACAAAACTTTCACTTGGGTAGGATAAGTGAAGTCGGCTTCCCAGATATTTCACTGAAGGATATGGAAGGTAAAATGTTAATCCTTTGTATTCACTTAATACATTTAGCTTTTTTATATGTTTGTTGGCAAATGACAATTCGCACATAAGTGGCTTTCAAATTATGCAGAGGTTAGGAATGTCTTCAAGGATGTACCATCCCAATCTTGCTATTTATATGAAGAAAGAAAGCTGGTGCAGCATGCAATAGAGAAAATATGTACAATGATAATTGATTGTGTTGAACTTTGGGAAGACAAAGGTAAGAATTTGAGGAAGAGGAGGGCTTTCTCGGACCTTCTAAAGCTCTTTGATAGTTGTGGCTTGCTTAAGCACAGAGCAGTCAAGGAGGTACAACTACTCTATATCTCTGTATCGTGTTTTGAGTCTTAAATTTTATTTTCCTATATCTTTGTATGAAACTTATCCCACATTGCAGTATGGAATCTACTGGTACTTTTGTTTACCTTCATTTTCCTGTAAGATTTTCTAGTTTATATTGGTTTATGCTGATATCTTCCATCCCATAGGATCAGTTCAACCAATCGCAGCGTTGCCTCCTTCAGCCATCCTATGATGTACAGCATTTGTTGCTGACACATGGTAGTCAGTCTTCTGGGGATGCCAACATTGCCATTTCCAGCCATTCTCAGAGCTCATCCCATCAACAATTAGAAATCATATGGAAAACAGCAAATCAGTACTATTTCAAGAGCATTGCATCTATGCAAGCTCTGCAGCAAATATCCCTGAATTTTCACAAGGATTTTACTCTTGAACAGGTACTGCACAGTACATAATTTAATGGATTTTGTTGTGAAATGCTATGCTATCTATCAAAATTCAGTTTCTCGTAGCTGTAGAAGTAGAAAATATCCTCTGTGGCCTGATTTAGAGGTCACATGAGATTTTTAAGGTAGTTTTGTCTGCCCTAGTCTATGTATACCTTGTGATGGCTAAATTATTTTGGGGAGGCTGTTTGATGACCTGCATTTTCTAGGTACGATATCTTCTTTTTTTTTTTTTTTTTTCTTTGGTGTTCTTTAAATTCGTAGAGTTAGAAGAAATTTTAATTGCTGCATACATGTAATTTAGGTTAACAGTTACATTTTAGTTTCATCTGGATGAATTGGCATGTATATCTTTGAATGTGTATCCGGGATTAGTTGTTAAGTCCGTTACATTTTTAAGCTTTTAGGCAATATTTATATTGTGATGCGTTAACCTATTAGTATGCTTATGTACAGATGGATGAATATGACTTTTTTCTCCATTTCTTTTTGTGTAGATTAAACGATCAGGTTCTTATATTGACCATCTAGTGGAAATTCAACAAGAACAACGGGCACTTGCTTATGGTTTTGCCAATCAACTCAAGTGTGTGAAGGAATGCACATGGCCTTTGTCAAACTTGTTCTCGGGCTCCATTTCTTCAGATGGTGGCACTAGTAGTGATTTCTGTTTTACCCAAAACCAACATGCCACTTTCAAATGCATGTGGCAACAGAAGGTTAGACTTTTGACCTGTTGAAGTGAATAAGAACCTTCCTGCTCTTTGTTCACCAAATTGGACCTCACATTTCTTCTTTTACTGCAGCAACTTTTTGATGGTTTTTACTCCATGCTGTATGATGAACATTTGTTGCTGCGAATGGTTGAAGACAATCACTTGAAAAATTGTCTAATTATCAAAGATGAAGTGCAAAATATCCATATGTTCATTCAGAAGTTCTTTCCAGACTTTCAGAAATCTAAGGTACTGTATTCTCATTCACTGTGCTACTATTCTAAAAGGTTAAAAACAGCGTTGTCTTACTTAAATGGAAATTTCTCGATAGGATTTGCTGGATTGCTATCTTCTTTGTGGTAATAGAGATATAACTGCGGTAGGAGCTGTATTGAATCCTTATGGCATTACAAAAGAAATGGAGCAGCTGGTAAATCAGAACTTCCAGTTGATTCAGAAATTTGAGGAAAATCTCTCTGCTTTCCAGAAGCAAGATGGGAACAGATTAGTCCAAGAAATCCTGCTTGGGCATTTTAGAGATTTACTTGAGAAGGTACGTACAAATTTTATTCAATCGAATGTCGTCCTCAGATATGTCAGTTAATTTTCTTTAACTTTTTGAGCTATTGAAGTATTTCTAGAGGTTGTGCCGTAGGTGTATTGTGCGAGGAAAAATATTTGTAAAGTATCTCCAGTTTGAGCATTCTTTTACATTTTTCAGGCTAACATTACTGCCGAAGAGTTTTATTCTTCTTTACATGCAAGAAATCTGTCTAATAATATGGATGGGGATCCCAATCGTCATGAAGGGAATATGATTGAAGTTGAAACTTGCTTTGGCAATGCCCTCAAAGGAACATACGAGCGTATCCATGATTCGCTTCAGAGAGTTGGGTCACTGAAGTATGACCATGCTGTTTCTGCAGATTCTTTAAAGAATATGAATGAGTGGAAAATTCGATTTGAAAGAGAGATAGAGAACCTGCAGTTGGTCAATATATGTGAAGATGTAGTGAAAACAATTCAATTTGCTGTAAGTTCTATCACTGCAAGTTTCCTTATAGATTTTTCATTTTATAATTTTTCAAATTGTTTTTTACCAACTGATATTTGTTTCTCAGAGACAACTTTTGAACTACTACGGAGAAAGGAACCCAAGTCTCTGTTCATCTGTTGGTGAACATTTAAGACAATTGTATTTCTTATTGGATTTGATAATGGCTTTTGGTGATAAACTTCTGCAGGATTTTGTAACCATGCATGGGGTGGTAAGTGTTTGTCATAATCTTTTAACTTAAAACCGTGTAATAGTTTTGCATTAATTAACTTTACTTTTCTATTTTTTCATTTTTGGGGATGCCCAATCAAATTTGATATAGCTCCATGCACCTGAATTTACATTTTTTTTCCTATTTCAACCCTAACAGAAGGCTGTATGAAATAAGCTTTGGTCAGCAACTGAGAGAGGAGAAAAAAAATCATGAATAACTGTGATCGTGTTTACAGTTTTCTCAATTTCAATAATTCATGTTCACGATGTTTTCTAATTTTAGGTGTTTCATTTCTAAACTGCTATATCTGAGTCACTAATATGTTATGTTGTACGCAGGTATCCGAGCTAACTTATGTTCTAGCAAATGTGTTTGCTACATTATTTTCCAAAGGATTTGGCACCATTGAAGATCAATCAAATGGTGATGCGGATGATATAACTCAAGATGCACATGGAACTGGCATGGGTGAGGGTGCAGGACTGAATGATGTCAGTGATCAGATTACTGATGAAGATCAGCTCCTTGGCACATCTGAAAAGGTACGGAATCAGATATTTGGAGTATTAATCTCTGTCTCATCCTTTATAACTAAAATTTACAAGGGGTGTTGAACAATCTCATCTAAAAGCGAGAGGGAACAAACTTATTTGAATTACATTTTTAACCTGCCTCCTCACGGGGTTGGCCATATCCATTTGATTACCAGAGGTCTGATGTGCACAATTTTCAGAAAGGGTTGGCGGCGTGACTTGAACCACAAATGATGTTTGCTCCAATATAATGTTGAACTTCATCTAATAGCTTAAGTTATGAGAGAGATGATGCATGTATTTATTTAAATTTAGCCCTAAAAATGCAACAAAAAATTGGGCACGTGATTATATTTTCTCTATTAAGCTTCTGCAGCCAAATGAAGATAATAATGATACGAGCGATGTTCCAAGTAAAAATGAAAAAGGAATAGAGATGGAGCAGGACTTCAGTGCCAGTGCATTTAGTGTTAGCGAGGACTCTGGAGATGATGAAAATGAAGACACTGGGGATGAGCAACTGGACTCTGCTATGGGGGAAACTGGCTTGGAAAGCGAGATAGTCGACGAGAAAACTGGGCACCCAGGTGATGATGAAAATCCAAATAACTTGAATGAGAAGTACGAAACTGGGCCTTCTGTGAAAGACACAGCTTCTAATGATAAAGAACTTCGAGCCAGGGAAGATTCTGCTGGTAATGATGATGATGATGCTGGAGGTCTTAATCCTAACGAATCTACTGAAAAGATTGATGCAAATGGAAAAGAAGAGGGTCCTGATGATATAGAAGATATGCATGTGGACGAAGATGTTGCATTTTTAGATCCTACGGGGCTGAATCTTGAATATCAAAATCCAGTGCCTGAGGAAGATATACATAGGGATGATATGGATGTAACTGAAGCCATGAAAGACGGTGAACCTGAAGATTTCGAAGGTTCTGACCCTGATAATAATGAGAAAGACAATTTAATGGATGAAAACTTGGATGAGGCAGAATCTGAGCAGTTGGGAGAGATTGCTGAAAAAGTCAATGGCCAAGAAAGTAACAAAGAGATGGACTTCGAAACCCCTAAGAAAGACGTGCTGCAATCAACGACTTCTGATTTTGTTAGGGACAATATTCCAAATGCTCAGTCTGCACAAGAACCTAAAGAAGACTCTGATGCAGTAGATCAGGGAGACGTTGCACCAGATGCAAAATGGTCTAACTTCAGTGAGGTTGAAAATGATCTCGCTTCAAGGAGTGGCTTTCCTAATGCCTCTGAGATCGAAATGAGGGTTATTGACTCTGTGGAAGGCAAAAAACTGAGCCACGATCAATCTCAATCTAAAATGCCGACTTTTGAGTCGCTTCAAAGAAATCAGCCGAACCCTTTTCGTAATGTTGGGGATGCACTTGATGGATGGAAAGAGAGAGTTAAAGTCTCTGTTGACTTAGAGGACGAGAAGGACGGTCCAGAGGATTTGGCGGATGAGACAGCTGATGAATATGGATATACCGCTGAGTTTGAGAAGGGTACATCTCAAGCGCTTGGCCCTGCAACAGCAGACCAGATTGATAAAGATATGAATCGAAGTGATCTAGAAAGGGATATTGGAACTGCAGACTTAAAAGACCCCACTACTGAAATGGAAATCGAAATGCAGCCTTCCGATGCACGCCCTGTTAGAACGGCAGCTTTGAATCCTGAAAATTCTGTAAAAAATCAATTGGAGATGTCAGAATCAGACCATCCACTTAGAGAATCCACAGAAGTCAATGATGATCGTGAGATAAATAACTCATCTGAAAGTACAGTGTCTGTAAGGAGGTCATACATGACTGAAGATGTAAATCAACTAAGCAAGCTTTCAATGAAGGATAATGAACTGGGTAAAGCCCATGGCTTCGAGATGTCTGCTGACATGAGAGATGATGCAGCTGCTCTTTGGAGAAGTTATGAATTGCTAACATCAAGGTTGTCTCAAGAGCTTGCTGAACAGTTGCGTCTGGTAATGGAACCAACTTTAGCAAGCAAGCTGCAAGGAGATTACAAAACTGGCAAAAGGATTAACATGAAGAAGGTATGCAACTGTATAATCTTGATTTTAGGATAACAATTGCCTGGTTGCATGGATAAATAATTATGCGATTTTTCATTTTTCAGGTGATTCGATTTTTTGCAAGTCATTTTCGGGAAGACAAGATATGGCTAAGGCGGACACGGCCAAATAAACGTGATTATCAAGTAGTTATTGCTGTGGATGATTCCCGCAGCATGTCAGAAAGCCGTTGTGGAGGTGTTGCTATTGAAGCTTTAGTGACAGTCTGTCGTGCAATGTCTCAATTGGAAGTGGGAGTTTTGGCTGTTGCGAGTTTTGGACAGAAGGGTAACATTAGATTACTTCATGATTTCGATCAGCCTTTCACTGGTGAGGCGGGAATTAAGGTTGGGTCATCTTCTTGCTCTCATTTTCATTCTGCCCAAAACTACAAAGTATTGACTATTGTTCTCTTGCTGGCGGTGTATGCATGCATTTGTTGCTGGTGTATTTGCTTCGTTGTCCTAACTTCAGTTTCGTTGATGTTTTTCTACTGGGGAACAGATGATCTCGAGTTTGACATTTAAACAAGAGAATACTATCGTAGATGACCCAATGGTTGATCTATTGAGATATTTGAACAACATGCTGGATACTGCAGTAATGAACTCACGACTACCATCTGGATATAATCCTCTACAGCAGCTTGTTCTGATCATATCTGATGGTCGTTTCCATCAGAAGGTATCTGTCTATACTTTCGTCTCTGATTCAGATTTATGTGTGCGCATCCGTCTTTGATATGATCCTTCCAACATCTTTTTATAGGAACATGTAAAACGATGCGTGAGAGATGTCTTGAGTAAAAAGCGTATGGTTGCATTCATCTTGATCGATAGTCCACATGAGCCAATTATGGACCTCAAGGTATTTACTTTTCATTCTCGATGCTATACTTGAATTAGACAAATCCAATTTTAACTTGATCTCCTCCTCTTCCAGGAAGTAACGTTTTCGCATGGAGAGTTTTCGAAGGGAAATATCAAGTTCTCAAAATATCTTGATTCGTTCCCATTCCCGTTTTATGTTGTACTGAAGAACATTGAAGCACTCCCAAGGACACTTGCTGATCTTTTGAGACAAGTATGTTCTCGACAAATCAATTTTTTGGTTCCATAGGTTGCCGCATGAAATGGGCTAACCTTTGTTTAATTTGTATGGCATGCGCAGTGGTTTGAGCTAATGCAAAACTCGAGGGACTGAAGTGTATATCGGACTTTTTCGGCGAGGCATTTTCGACTAAGGACCGTTCCTCAGAATGTGATGTTTATATATGTTTTGAGCCATATCTTTAATATAATTTAGCGTAGGGGCAAAATGTATAGAATTTTATTAATTATAAACCTTACTGTGTAAATTCAAAAATGTTTCTGATTAATTTAAGTTTTTTAAATATATGCATTCATTTTCTCAATGTTGATATTGTTTCGTGTCGGTTAGTCGCTAACAATTAAAAAGGATCAGACGATTGTGTAAGGGACAAACCTCTTGACACAAAGTCTCAAAAATGGGTGTTCTTTTATTGGCGATGACTTTATAATTGGAAATTAAAAACAATGTGCCTCCAAGGGGCGCAAGCACACGAGTTACTGTGTTTAAGTCTAAACTAAGGAAATTAAAATTACATGTTCTCTGTTCGAGAGTTTTTTATTCGGTCTCTTTTGCTCTATGTTTTTTCTCCCTTTTATACTTCATGGACGATCTCTTTGTAATCAACGTCTAAAAACTGCTTGATCGTCCTATAACTGTCCACTTTCCTCGTAATGGTCAACTTGTCATGAAAACTGCCTTTTTTTAACCGCTGCCATTACTTTTCGTCGTTCAACCGCTTTCGATTGAATTCCTTGAATCGTGGAACGTGATAGGGCTGCTTTAATAACTGTTTTGATAACTGCACTTCTTGATAACCACAACGCTTTATGTTTGTTAAGACCTTGGGCGACTTGAAGGTTTGGGCAAGAATAGAGTAACAGCTCAGGGTTACTGTATGGCACTCTATTTGCTCAGATTTTGGGCGACTTGCAAACTTGGGCGATGGCGTTACCGCGTTCCTGGGCCTCCCTATTTGGGCCTTCATCTTGATTTGTTTGATTGGGCTTCGTTATTTGGGCTATCTGATTTGGGGATTCTCCAATTGGGCTTCACTCCTTGGGTCGTTCGATTTGGGCTGATTTTTTATGTGTCAACAATTACCCCCCAATATGGCAGAATTAATAATAATTATTAAATTTTGCCATATTCACTTTGTGTTTCGAGCAACATTCGAAATTTCCTAGAATTTCAATCATTGTTTTCTTCTATAATTTGAAAAGGTGCGTCGTTTTGCAAACCCTTATAACCCCCAAACACGTCATTTCACTGCACCACTAAATCACGCCTCAAATTTTTCGCGTCTCTCCCACGATTTACTGTTCATCTTTTGCTTCCCTGCTACGTAACCCTGCAAAACTTCGTTCCATCTCAAATGACTACTTGACAATCTCAAGCTGGCGACTCTTTTAGTTTTAATGACTTTCAGAAACTCCTGAGACGTCCATATATAACTCCGAGTTTTCTCGAGCCCGCCGATGTTGAACGCAATGAGTTCTACTTAGGTCATTTCTTCAACAATGCAGAGGCAGTTGAACAGGTGGCGGTGGGTCAGCTGTTTCCTTGTACTCAAGGCCCTCCATTTCTAAACTCTCTGCCGCTAGGGCCACTTCGCGAAAGAGGTATTCGCACTTGGCCTACATCTGATGTAGCTTTCCGTAGGTGGCATGCTCGCCTTGTGGGTTATGGTCCTACTAAGGCACTTTTTGATAGCGCTAGGATTTCTGATTTGTTAGAAATCTCTATTCGCCCCCTACTTTTGATTCAGCACTCTTTTCGATTGCTTTGAGTTTTTGGTCTTCCGAGTATAATACCTTTATTTTCCCTCTTGGCCCCATGTCTATTACCTTAAGGGATGTTGGGGCCCTGGTGAATCTACTATCTTTGGGCGATACAATTTTTCCTGGTATCTTGGTTTCTGGTGGCGCCCCAAAGTTTGGCAAAAACTACACCGAATCTTATTCAAGCCTGAAAACCCTTCACAATCATTCGAGCGCTGAGCCTTCCCATACTGAGCGAGTGGCCTTCCTTCTAGTTTGGCTTTGTAAATATGTTTTGTGTGTGCCAAGCATAAAGCCCTCCCTGAGTTATTTACCTATAGCGCACGAATTGGCGCGTGGCAGACCTTTGAATTTATATTCTTTGTTTTTGGTCACCCTTTATAGAGGCACGGCGTCTCTTCAAACTCAATTGAAGAATGGTGTATCTCCTACTGGCAGTGGACCTCTTTGGTTCACTCAAATGTGGTTGAAATCCTATTTTCCATTGCTTGGTGCTCCATCAATTTCTCGCTCCTCTGCTAGCTGTTATGGGCTAGCCATGGAGCCCTTGGCACCTGTAAATATGTCCAGAAGGGACATTTTTTCATTCTTTTATTCTTTGAATTCAATCTCTTCCTTTTTTCCTTTTCCTCCTTTTTTGACTCCAAACTATGTAAATCCCCCCTCCACTATAGACAGCGCGAGCACCTTCCTACTCATTTGGATCCAGTTTTTAACCGGGAGGGAGCTATTTCATGATATCTTGACTGGGACCAATGTCAAGGCAGGGGTAGAAATTTATGCTCCTCAATTTTTTGCTCGCCAGCTTGGTTTCGGCCAAACTTGGCATGTTCCTCCTTGCTATTCAAGGAACTTAATTGACCGTTTTTATACCATTAATAAAGCGGAGGCAGAGGCTATAAATGCTCGCAATCTTCTTTTAACCAGCCATTGCTCATTAGCCCCCTACAATTCTAGCCACGCTATTCATCCTCTTTTTGAACAGCTTTGGCCGTCAGTGAAGCGCAGATTATTTGCGACTGATGCCAATCGTGCCTTTCATTCACTAGACCAGCCGAGTATTTCTTCTCCTCCTCCTGTTTTAGTCACTCCTTTGTCCATCCGGAGTCCTTCCCCTTCTCGTCGCGCTAAACAGTCTGCTCGTCCATCTTTTTCTCTCCCTGCCAAGCCTACTACAGCCAAGAGTGCCCCAAACCGTAAACGGCCAGCCTCAACATCTCCCATTCTGGAGGATGATGTTGATGATGATGATGATGATACCCCTCTTATCGTCAGGAGGAAGGTAATTAAATTGGTTTACTCACAAGCATACTTTTCCATACTTGAAACTTTTCTGTGTGCTGATGATTTTTTGGACTTCTCAGAAAAGTTCAGCCTCTCCTTCAAAGGCTTTGGCATCGACAGCTCCTGCTCCATCATCCTCTGCTGAGGCTGCTTCATCCAGACCGGTTGATGAGGGGGCTACGCTTAAAGAGACATCTTCAGTCCCAGAGTCCTCATCACAACCCATGGATGAGCCACCTTCTTCCCAGGGCGTCAACCCCCCAAACATCGAAGCAGAAGGTAATTCAGTCTTTTGATGTCTTACCTTTGCTTGTGCTGTTGGTTTCTGATTTGTTGCTCTTGAGTTTTGCAGATACTCCTATGAGTCCGCCTGTTGTGGCAACATCTTCTCGCTCAGACAAGGGGAAGTCCTCACGAATGGAGGAGTTGTTGGTGGCAGACTTGGCTGAGGACATGCCATCTTCTACGATTGTTGACGAGGTAATCTTTGCTTCACTTCTATTTCTATCTTGTTCGTTGTAGTGAGAATCTTTAATATTGGCAATTTTCTTTGTAGGATGCTGACAAGATTGTGCGTTCTATCCAAGACTTGTTCGCTTCTTGGGGGCAAGTTCAGACGTCTCGCCCTGCTCCATCTGATCGTCCTGCTGCTTCTTCAGAGGAAGATTTGAAGTTCCTCAAGGAGTCGATATTTGAGTACGTGTCCTTCATGGATATGGACATTGGAAAGGCTAGTGCTGCCAGACACAAGGATAAACTTGAGCATTTGAATGCGAAGTTGGAGCAAGCACTGACGCTTCCGTCGCTCAATCTTTCTGCCGATTTTAAAGCGACGTTGAAGGTTATCCACTCCGAGGTCCTTTCTTTACTGGCCAAGAATGCTGAACTAAAGGCCAAAAGTACTCAATATCTTCGAGCCGTATCTGAGAGAGAGTCTTTGCGTATGGAGATTAACAAGGCTGAGGACGAGTTGAAAGAAATCTCTTCCGAAATCATGGTTGAAGACTCTTTGATGGTTAATTTGGCTGCTCAGATGAAGGAACTTCAAGCCAAAATGGACGACTGCAGGGCGAGAATGGCTGCTAAAAAGCGCAATGCTTCCCAGGGAATTGAGCGAACTAAGTTCTTGGTCGAGCAGTACAAGAAGTTGGAAGTTGATGATGATGTCGCGGCCGAATTGAACATCACTTCCTCTCGGCAGAACGAGGATTGAGAAAAATTTAGGGAACGAATTCGTTCAGTATGGGGTGGACTGTAGTTAAGACATATGATGTCTTTTTTCTTTTGTAATTTGATTTTTCCTTTGTAACTTTGTTCATCATTAATGAACATTAATTTCTTATGCATTTATTTGAAGTTTATTTTTTTATTTTTAGTCGTCAATTCTTCAAGCATTTAACTGCTTCGTGCTAAAATCTTGCCCATTTGCTTTTGATATTTCCACCACTTTTTCTAAGATTTTGGGCTATTTAATTCCATTTACTAAGCAGAAATGTGGCTGTTCATATTCTGTCTCTTCATCTCCACCCCCCCAATAAATGCTTCGTATTTTCCATCTTCCATCTTCATCTTCATTTTCTTCTTCGAAACTAATTTGCTGCCATTACTTGGCATTCTGACAATCAATCCGATCCAAAATGGACTGTTTAGTCTGCCCATTTTACTATTTATCTTGATGTCACCTTTGGTGTGGGAGGTATAGGAAATATTTTCTGGCCAGTAGCGAAGTTTTTACCATCGAAGTTCTTCCCATCGTCTCTTTGTCCTTTACAAGGAGTCGATGATAGAAGGTAATTTTTGGGATGCTTGCGGGCCACTTTGCTTGCTGAGAGTGCTTCTCAGCCTCTTTGTTCGTCATTGCAGCGATGCATTTAGGAAGGTGGTGAGGCCAGTCCACCCTCTTACTCGGCGATCCCACCATTGCAGCGATACATTTAGGAAGGCAGTGTGAGGTTTACTCAGCGATCAACCAGGAGATTAGCTTACTTTTAATTGTATTTTGTAGAGCATCCATTATTTGTATTTTTTCATTTTTGTAATGAACGTTTGATAATAAAGGACTTCATTTGAACGTATTTCGCTCTGACCTTGTTATCCTTTAATCGTTCAACATATTTGATTATGATTTTATCTATTCACATTCCCATAAAGAAGGAACATATTTTTTCAAATATTTGCCGTTAATGAATCTCACGTACTTGGTGCCATCTAAATCTTCCAAGTGATACGCTTCATTGGG